ACCGACCATATACCAAAATATTTTCACGTATGTTCAAAAATCATCTAATCAAGAGGGGTAGTTAAGATCATTTGATTTATCAATAACTCAACCGATTTAGTTTTTCAGAAATTGTAAAAGCAATTTTCCACAATACTAAAAGAAATTTAACTACTGATATGGAATAGAAAACCAGTCTTTATGTGCATATTATTTGTTTATATTATTCGAATATGTTAAATTTTCAGTACCCTTAATTATAAACAACAGCTCTAAAAAGACAACTATTTTATAACAAGTGAAATAAACATATAACTCATATTTTAAATTATTATATATATCATAAAATACATGAAAAAAAAATATCAATATTCAAAATTATTTTTATACTAATCAATATTTATTCATTGCTTTAATACATGTAATTTATAATTAATATCTCTTGCATCGCACGAGTTAATTACTAGTGATTGGTATAACACAATTTTCAAGCAATGATTGGTATATTTTTCATAAAGAATGACCTTTTCAATGGAATTGCAAAATATATATCTGTTAGTTTAGTCATTCCATAGCTAATCTATGGTTTTTCACATTCTCCTATATTTAAGATACAATTGTTTTTAACAAAATAAAATTAACTAATAAGAGCAGATGTTCTAAGAGGACTCTAGGCTGACATGCATGTGCTGCCTAAGCATAAGCAATACTTCAATATAATAGACCCGTGGGGCCTAGACGAGTTTAAGACCGAGACTCTAGCCCAGACAGACATGTATTGCCTAGGCATAAGCAAAACTCTCAGATCTAAACTACCATATTCTCCACTGCTAGGTCGCATTGAGCTCCCAAGGTCGAGTTGCTAGAAATCTCGACCTCCTCCCTCGTTGTCGGTATAGTGAGGATGAATGCCAATTTTTATTGAGAAAAACTGGTTGCGATAGCTTCTGCGATCATCATGTTAGGAGCGTCACAGATTCGCCTGCTAGAATACCTCCTATAGTCGCAGGTGAGCTCCTCCCATCGTCATGAGGTAGATTTTGTTGTGCCAGAATTGTTGGTACCATCTTCTACCCTCTGGTTGGGTAATTGGGCCACTTGTTTTTGGTACATACATCTAAGAATCTCCAAAACCCAGTAAGTTGGGAATGGGGGTGATCGACGTCAGAATGAATCTCGAAAATCCTGGCAGTGGGCTTTCTCTGATAAGACGACTAGAAACCCAGGCCTCGACGAAGTTGGGTTTTAGGTTCTTTCTCGGATCATCGCGTACCTAGCTGGTCACATGTGGATTTTGAACGAAAGTCCCACAAACGGTGCCACATGGTAGTGAAAAATGACCTCAACCCATCCAAAGTTCTTCGATCAGTCCTTGAACTGGTGAAATGACCTGCTAAACAACGTTGGGGTTGTCCCGACTAAGAAGCTACGACCATCAAGTTAGTAAATGGGGATGAAGGTAAATTGTTTGTAGAAGCTACGACCCTCAAGTTAGTAAATGGGGATGGAGGTAAATTGTTTGTATATGAGTAGAATATTCAAAGTGTATCGAGGAAATGATCATACCTTGCCCCTTTATATAGATTTGTTTCCTTGTTGCACAAAATTAGCTCGATCTTGCTGCCCAAGTGCCCCAACTACTTGTTCATATTGTTGGGGTGCCTAAACTGGCAATTTTTTACACATGTGTCCTTACCCACTTGTCATCTTATCCTAATTATATTCGTATTTATCCATTATCTAGAGTGTTAGATTAGCCTACATCATTAGGTAGTCACTTTAAGCATAATCATGCTATCAACATGATTCTTATTAAACTGTTCATAGATCTCTTTACTTCCAGGTCGACTTTCTACTCAGACTATCCGAGAGTCCAAGTTCGACCCGTTGCTGAACATATTTATCTCGAATATCATTACTGACTTGGTAGTTTTCCGACCCTAAGTCTTCCTGCTATCCAACCTTTGATCGACCTATCGGTCTACTCAAACCAATCGAGCTACTCTTAGGTCTACATGACCTAAGGTTTGGTATAGTATACCGTATCAATATGCAACAACCACCAGTGTACTAGAATAAAAAAAA